AGTAATAGCGTGCTAGTAGACTTAGCATTTAAATGATTTTTCTTTTTATCCACTAATTTGAATTCTTCTCACAATGCTGTTACTCAGGGAATGTTGTATTCTCATCATATGCATGCATGTGTTTCCACACACACACACACACAAAAAAAAAAAAAAACCTGACTATACAATATAATCCAATTTTAGTTATCTATGCAAATAGAAAACATGTGAACAGAAAAAAGACTAAGCCATACATAAAATATAAACAATAGCTAACTTTTGATAGTGAAATCACATGCAGTTAGTTTTTAATCTCCCCTCTTTTCTAAACAATAAAATCTGTTACTATTTGTTAGGGTAAAATGATGCAGTAAAAACTTACAGTGAGGCTATAGGAACTGGCTGCTGCATCAGGACAGCTGGTGACCTGCCTGTCCACATCACTGCAGGTCCTGGAACAACCTGTATTGTGTGCTGAGGAACAGCGAGCTGACCTTCTACAAGGATGCTAGGAACCTGGCCCTGGGGGTACCCTACCATGGGGAGGAGCCTCTGGCCCTGAGACATGCCATCTGTGAAATTGCTGCCAACTACAAGAAGAAGAAGCATGTTTTTAAGCTGAGGTGAGCCTTACTGCACAGAGCCCCCTGTCTGTTGCATAAGCCCTTTGAACCTTAAGCTGAAGGTTTGATTGGGCATGCCCACTGTAGACTAGATCCAAGCTAGAGCTGCTCCTGGGTGGTCTTTCTTTTTCTCTGTCTTTCTTTTTTCTCTTCTCTTTTCTTTTTCTTTTGGTCTTTTTGAGACAGGATCTCCCTGTAGTCCCAACTGTCCTGGAACTCACTGAGTAGACCAGGCCAGCCTTGAATTCAGAGCTCTGCCTGCCTCTGCCTCCCGAGTGCTGGGATTAAAGTCATGCACCATGCCCGGCCCTGGGTGGTTTTTCTAATCAAAAAGTTTCATAGCATTTTTAGGTCTCTCAAGTATTCTGCTGCTCAGTAGGGTCTAGATATTAGGCTGTGAGGTCATTAGCCAGCTCTCTGCCCAGGTAAAGGCCTCCAGAGATGGCACCATGACAGGAAAACCTTTGTCTCCTTAGGTTGAGTAATGGGAGTGAGTGGCTGTTCCATGGCAAAGATGAGGTAAGCGCTCATGGCCTAGCTCCGATGTGGCTTACAATGGGGTGGGTGGAGATCTGACACTTGACCTCAAGGCCCCTGCAGAATGGGCAGTCACAGGAGCACATCATAGCTGCATGTGTCCTCCTGGACTCCCTGATGCTCCTACTCTACAGGAGGAGATGCTGTCCTGGCTGCAGGGCATGAGCACAGCCATCAACGAGTCCCAGAGCATCCGTGTCAAGGCCCAGAGCCTGCCCCTGCCTTCCCTTACTGGTCCTGATGCCAGCCTCGGCAAGAAGGACAAGGAAAAGAGATTCAGCTTCTTCCCTAAGAAAAAGTAGCAGCTGGCAGCCCCGGGGGTGGGGCTGGCCAGGCAGCACAGCAGTGTGCATCGGGACATGAAAGGAATAGGAGCCTGTGGCCTTGACCTCTGCAGTGGCCAGTCCTCCTTCTGCCTGCCACCCGCTGCCTGCAACCTGCCTGCTCGAGTTGCTGGGCCAGCCCCAGGGCCCCACACTGCACTGCAATAGCTGCCTTGCCTGCCAGGCCTCCTTTCCACCTGCCAACAGCCCTCCACACCCCTACTCCCCATGCAGTCAGCTGGGCTCCTGGGACAGGAGCTCTATCTCCTCTGGGGCTAGAAAAGGTTCTATAAGGTATATACTTTTCTCTTCCTGACCCCATAAAAACTGGGAAGTCTGGTGGGGTTCCGCTGATGCTGCCCATTCCTACCGCAAGTCTCACTTCAGGTCACTGCCCATAGTCACAGTCATTGAAAGGAAAAGGGACACTGGCAATGGCTGACCTTCCCCTCGTGGGCAGGAGAAAGGGCCTTCAGAGCCCCAGCTCTGGGCAAGGGGCTGGTGAGCACCAAGAAGACAATAAGAGATGTTGAGCCTTGGGTACCACCAGCCTCCTCCCCACTTGGCTTCCTTAGATCTGGGACTCTGTCCTCAGGGCTAGTGCATTCCTTCTTTCCTTCTTGTACCTGAAAAAGCATCATTTGGTGTGTCCTGACTAAAGGGGTCTCTTGCCCTCCCTCCCTGCTGAACCTTTTGCCTCTCCTAGCACTGGAACAGTGGCAAAGACTAGCAGCTCTTATACCCTCCCTAGAGCTTCGGGCTCAAACCTCTGCCACAGGACAGACGGGTCCCAATACTGCTAGGCTCTGCCTCTATGTGGTGGCCCTTCTCTCCCACTCCCGGTTGCAGCCAAACCAGCAATACATGGCCAGTTGCTGGCCCCAGATACAAGCTGAACACCCCAGGTTCTGAGTAAAGCATCCCAAAGCCAAATACCCACTGTAGCACGTCTGCAGTGGGTACCACCCAGGCCACTGGCTCGACACAGAGCTATGTTTATCACATAGTCATGTGACACAATTACCCCTGGAACACAGGGATGAATGCTGAGGCCACTATCATAAAGGTGTGGCCTCTCGATTGGCTTCTGTAGGCCTAGCCCTAGATTCCAGGGGTTACATGGTACAGAGATCACCAAACATCTACCACCCCCTCTCCAAGCACCAAAAGGCGCTCTTGTGGCCTCTGTCTGCAAGGAGTGCCTTTCTAGGCTTAAGGAGGAGAGGGACCACTGGTTTGCAAGGACTTCCTCTGCTACTCAACTGAAAACAATACAGCTGCAACCCAGCACAGTAAAAGGGGTTAGATCCAAAAGGTCAAGTTGAGGGCAGTTGTCCTTTCCCCCCTAGGAGACAATTAGCATCCCTTGGGCCCAGTTTCTGCCTTCCCTATCCAGTTACAAAGCCTTCCCAGAATCCCTCAGTGCTAACCAGGGAAGGTACAACTCAGAGAGCAGTTACACCCTATGACTCTAACATGAGTATGAAGCCAACTCCAGCAGACAGGAGCCACAAGAGGGACGTTATTCAGTGGGGCCTGATTTCCCTATCTCTGCAGCCACTTTTTACTTAGCCTCCATGTATAGGGCTCTAGAGCCCCCTGCTTCTACAGGGAACCAAGCAGGTACCATTCACTAGCCTCTTTTACAGTCAAGAAACTAAGGGCAGAGGCAGAGAGGCATCTGCACTCACCTGGTGGTAAAAAAGGCTTTGGTGCACTCAAGGGTATGTTCATCTCTGGGACAGGCAGTGGGCTCCTTATTGAAGGCATTAGGTGGTAAGCAGCTCCCTCAGTTTCCCTAGTCTAGTATTTGGGAGATCAAGGGATGAGGGTCCACCCTTCCCTTCCACATGTACCCAATTAGCACCTGAAGTGAGGAATTTCTAGCAAGTTAACTTCATAGAACCAAGAAAGGGCTCCAAGGATGAGCTAGGATTTAACCACCCCAGGTCCCAGGATTGGGCAAGGGCAGCCAACTGCATGTGACCTACCATCACAGCCAGCTCCCTATAGAGCTCACCCATGTCACCCAGGCCCCAAGACACTCAACTGGACTGACTCTGCAGGTGGCTAGCTTTGGAAAAATCCCGTGTGTGTACCCAGGGCTAGGCTCTCCTGGTAACCTGGCAAGGCTGATTTTTCTCCTGACATTTTCTATTTCACAGCCTCTTTCTTGACAGTTACTCCCAAACTGGGATGACACAGCTCCAGTCCACACCAGCATAACAGGCTTCCTCCCCAGGGCAGTTAGAGGACGCTTTCTGGGCATGGTCAGGTGGTTCTCCCTTCTCCTTGTTGCCTTTGTCCCGGCCTTTGGCTGGCTGGCTGAGGAGGAATAGAGGGTCCTGGGGCCCTCCCAGGACCCTCCCACCCTACCTCCACTGGCACTAACAGGAGGCCTGTGTAAGCTCGGTTCCCCCACCCCCCAATTCCTCCTTCCTGCCTACTGGAGGGCAACAGTTCCCCTAGGCTGGTCCTGGATCCCCGCCTCTACCCTTAGCGGAGGAGGTAGAGATCCAGAGGAGGAAGAGGCCAGTAGGCCACATGGCTTGGTCCCTTGGACAAGCAAGCTCAGGGAGGACACTAGAGGAGGTGGCTGCAGAGGAATGCAACCCTGTTGGGCACAGATCATGCCATCTAGGGCTGGCCCTGGGGCCGGCTGGGCCTTGTCCTCTACCTGCTCAAATGTGCTTCCACCAACCAGAGGAAACCCATTTACTAGTTTTTCTAATAAATCAATAATGCTCTACTTTTGTTTCAGTTTTTTATTTAACTATAAAGCATCATTTCCTTTTGACTCCAGAGGGCAGGCACCATGGCGACAGAGGGATAGCCAGACTCTAGCTTGTCTCTGGCAGTTGCATGGTGTGGATCTGCTATTCAGTGTCCAGGCCCTGCCTGAGACCCTGAGAGTTTGCTCATTCATGAATTCAGACAACTGGAGGGTAAAGTCATCTCTAAGCAAGCATCCTCCAGGCCATCAACTACAGAGCTCAAGAGCGTGATCCCCAACCTCTGTCATGGTACCCATCTCCAGGGGACAGTTTTATTTGGCCTGGGTGGGACATGGGCATTGCCACATTTCAAAGGCTCCATGGGTGATTCTAATGGGTGCTGGTGAAAGAAGCTGCCCCAACCTAAGGTTCCCAGGCACACCTAGATGAGGTGAAGATCACCTGGAAGAGCTCAGCTACAACTGCCTCACCCCGGAAGTCATCAGGGGATTTGAGCAGCAGTGACTCACCCAGCTTTCCACCTGTAGATGAGGAAAGCACAGGAGTTGGTTGCCCCAGCTAGCTGGCAACAAGGCTGGGGCAAGATTCTGAGTCACCTATCCAGGGCACTTGTGGCCACTCCCAGGTGTCATATCCTGGGACTGGCCTGCTTAGAACCAGCTGTTCTCTTCTAGTGATGAAGTAAGTGACCACAGAAAGCTCGGAGCAGCTGATGGGTCATAGGCTAGTGCTGCTCTGCTCTGCTTCTGCCCAAAAGACCACCAATCACCTCTAATCTTCCCTGATCTTAGGTACTGGGTGCACTCGTGTTCAGCTCAAGTCCATTCTCCCTAGGTTGGAAGACGCACAGGCCTTGAGCCTGCAGGCACAATTGAGGAACCAACCCCTCTACCACCAAGGCCATGCAGCCCCCCCCCTTTATGGTCCCAGTCAGAACAAACCAGGCAAAACCAAACAGAGCCTCCATGGAGAAAAGACCAAAAAAAAAAAAACCCAATTCAAAGTGAGGCATTCCTGGTACTTCGGACTCAGATTCTTATGAATGCTGTGAACACAGGACCCATCCCAGCAAAATGCACTTGTACTTCTACCATGATATTGCAAACCACCCTAGGATATTCCCAGTCCCCAGATTTATAATCCTTGCCCCTCTGGGAGCTGGAGCGGGAGAGATGAGTAAAAAGCATCAGATGCTAGAAACTCCTGCTTATCTAAAGTGTTCCACTTGCCTCTGGCAGTTCCAATTTTGTTCCAATGGACAAGCACCCATTAGAATCACTCTTGGAGTCTTTGAAACCTGGCAAGGCCCATGTCCCAATTACAGTTCCAAAGGCTACAATTTTTGCCCTTGGGACCCCCAATCCAGACAGAATACTAGGTTCTGTGGGTGGACAGAGCAATACATGGAAGCAGAAGTGGCAGAACAAGTTTCCCATCCCACCTGACCCACAAGCACACTGATGCCGTCTGCTTTCCGTGCCTAGACACTGAGTGAGTATGGAAGGCACATCCCACATCTCTGATTTCTGATCCATGAACAGCCCTCCACACCCAGTGGGCAGTAAGGAGACCACACACAGGTTGGTTGGTCAGCAGTGGTTATTGCACCATTGGCAAATATTGAAATGTGTGTACATTAGCGACAACCACAAGGCCAGCAAGACAACCTTCCAGAATACCTGAACTAAGTCCGTTACATTCTTCACAGGACACCCACTCACTCACATACACATACCACAGAATGGAAAGCAATAAATTATTGGTCTCATTTCTGCCTGGGTCCTTAAAAAAGGCAGTTAAAGCACAAAGGCTGTCCAGGCTGTTTCCTGGGTCCTCCCCCTTGAGTCTTCATCCAGGCAGTGGCCAGCCGGTGCTGGAAACCTGGGCAGTGCTTGCTCTCCCTGGGCAGAATGAGCTTAAATAAAACATTTGGCTTATCACAGAAGTATTTACAAGGGAAGTGGCTCATCTGGGCCTGAGGAAAGTTATCATAGGTCCAGGGGTGGAAGTCTGGGAGGGAGGGGAACATAGGCAGCAGACATGTGCTCTCCAGATCACTCTTCAAAAAGAGTGAAGGAACAGCTTTAAGTGAGACCCCAAGTCAGGCTCCTGTAAGCCCAGCCTGACCTAGGGGAAGCATGCCAGGTTCTTCCCTATCCTAATGTGGCTCCTCCCTCCTGAAGGAGTCAGTCAACCCATGGAGTTCAAGGCCTGGAATTTCTCCCTCAGATTTCTCACTCTGCCCTTCTTGCTTATGTCTGCTGGGTCCCTGGGACCTCCTTCCTTGGGCCGGTATTCTGCAGACTCCTGGAAATCTTGGTCCTGTCCCAAGGCCTTTGGTGAGCTTGGTCCCTGCCCATTGCCCTCCTCATCCAACCCCAGAGTGGGGCAAGGATGGGGCCCCTTCTCCATGACAATCACCCGCTGGTTGTTCTCCAGGGTGAGGTCTGCAGTGATATAAAGGGCTGCACCTCCATTCAGCCTGTTTTGGGGCAGAGATCCAGGAGGTGAAAGCTGGGAGGCCTCCCCACCAGTGTGGCCTCTCTTGGCGTTCAGGCTGCAGCAGCGGCCCACTCTGCCAGACACAGGAGGTTCCACTATGTTCTCAGGCAAGGAGAGGCTCCGGTTGACTGGCAGGCCACAAGGCCGTTTGCCGTCTGCCTGAGCAGCCTTGTCGTGAGAGGTATATTTGGAACAGAGCTCTCGGACATCAGGCCAGTTGAAGGTCTCAGTGTCAAAGGGGCTGAGAGGGCTCCGAGTAGAGGGCCGGGACCCGGGAGAGGTGGTTCTTGTGCTGACAGCAGAAGGGCTGAAGGAGAACTGGCGTGGTGAGGTCTCCCCAGCAGGGGAGGGCTTGGTGGGACTAAGCTCCTGGGCCATCAGCTGCTCATAGCTGAGGAGGGACAGCACAGGCCTTCTCCTACCTGTGAAAAGAGAGAACAATCTACCTCAACCACTGTGCAGAAGGTGGAATCAGGAAGGGAGAGCTGCTCGTGGGGACTGGTGTGACAAAGGAGAAATCCCATTTACTATCTGTTGCCTCTTTATCAAAGGGTGATGAAGAAGCAGTGGAGGAAAGGAGTCAGAGGAAGCCATGAGAAGCTTTGTTCTCATCTTGTAAGGATCTGGCCATGTTCCTCCAAGCTCCCACTGCTCAATAGGAATTGCTGAGGGGGACAGGACTGAGACTTCAACTAGGAGTGTAGGCTTGGCCTCAGAGTGCTAAAGAGGCTGTCAGGGTTCACTCTAAACCATGTGGTGCTTGGGGTCCAGCCTTCTCATGACATGGCCTATTTTACTTCCGTAAGGAGCACTAGATTCTAATAGGCTTTTCCACCCCTAGTCTCCCTACTCTATCATACCTTTGCTCCCTGAAAGCTCTCCAGCCTCTTCCTGCAGATAGGGGATGGTGGGGCTCTGCTCATCCCTCTCGGGAGCTGCCTTTTCCCACTGCAGAGGTGGCCTAGCTGACACCGACTTGATGTTCTTAATCCGGAGGCTATACTGGCGGGCCAGCTGGTAGACCTTGTTCTTGACACGCTCACTCACGTGGCTGTCCATCACATGGGAGAGCTGCACAATACGGGGGTGCAGTGGGGTGACCAATTCCCCCTGGGCACCAATGCTCAGCTCCTTCACCAGCTCTTTTAGCTCACGGGCCAGGTGGGCTGGGCTGGGCTGCTCAGTGGGAGAGGCACTTTCCGGAGAGGCAACAGCTGACTCCTCTGTGATGGCCCCCAACTCATGCTCCTCTAGGATGAAGAGTGGTTCTTGCAGCTCAAAGCCATTGGCCTGACTCTGGCCTGGCCCTGTCCGTGGACTCCCCTCGGAAGACTCCATTCTTTCCCACATCTTCACAATTTCTGAAGACGGACGGAACTCAGCATCTGTAACAGGAGCTGGGTCCCCTGTGCCTGACTGGCTGGGTCCTGGGAGGTCAAACAGGGCCCATGAGGCTGGCCGTGAGCCCCCTTGCCTCTTGCACCCCACTGGAACTGCTGGCTCTGGATCTGGCCTGGGAAGGCTGTTGAACCTGGACACAGAGCTACGCACCAGTCCTTTAGGGATATAAGAGAGGCTCTCCCGGCGCCGGATGCTGAAGCCAGCATCATGGTGTTCGGCATTTTCGTAGTAGCTCTTAATTTTGTCCAGCAACAGCCGGTCACGGGTGGAAAGTGCAGACTCCTTCTTGCAGGAAGATCTGTTGGGCTCCAAGGGGCAGCCTGCATTTGCAGATTCTGCTCCATTGACAGACAGGCCATTGTCTGTGGCCACACTTGCATTGATAAACACTTCTGGGGTGGGTGGGGAGCTGAGGGAGTCCACAGCGCTGCCCCACTGGGCCAGGCCCTTCTCACTGCCCTCTAGACTCAGCACACTGCTGCTCCGGCTGACCAGTCGTGGTGTCCCCAGGCTGCTGGACTTGCCATCCTCCAGTGCCAGGCTGCTCCGCCGAGAGAAGCTGCTGACAAACCGCTCAGCGATGACACTGGCCTGGTCCAGCACAGAGGGTGGCAGGAGGCTCTCAGATTCCTGGGATGCTGCCATTTCCTCCTCCTCCTCACTGCTCAAGGCCTTAAGGTCCTCAGTACACTCGGCTACCATGAAGTCCACCACATCAGCTGGGTGGTCCACCCCCAGCAACCCCTGGGGGGCATCGAGCTGTTTTTCTAGGACTTCTGGAGATTCTGGGTCTGAAGACATCTCCTCAGTGCTGGGACCTTCCAAGGTGGCAAAGACCTCCTGCTCAGCCCCAGGCTCAGGATCTGTCTCAACCTGGAACACAGCAAAGAATTCATGTAAGTTGAGGTGGGGGGTCTTACTTCATTGAGACCTGGGGGACAAGAAGGTGATGTGCCTCCTCTGAGGCCAGGTTGAGAGCCTGAAGATTAGGACAAAAGCAATCGGAATCAGCATGACTCAAAAGTAAGACAACAGGTCTTTAAAGAAAAGAACGTCAGGGGTGAAGAGATGGCTTAGTGGTTAAAAGCACTGGCTGTTCTTGCAGAGGACCCGGGTTAGATTCCCAACACCTACATGGTAGCTAACAACTGTCTACAACTCCAGTTCCAGGGGATCTGACACCCTCTTCTGACCTCTGTGCGCACTGCATGACACAGGTGCACTTATATGCATGCAGGCAATATATTCATATAAATAAATAATATCCTTAAAATGCTTATTTAAAAAAAGAAGAAGAAAAGAACGTCAATGTGCCCTTTAATGACCCTGGAGTTGTATGCTAAGCCCATATCCTCACACCCAAGGAAAACATGAGGAATGAGGAAAGACAGCGATACCTCTTAGTAGCAGCCTGCCTGGGAATTATAGGCACAATATGGGAACATACAACACAGCCAGACACTGACCCAGGTTCCCAGACAAGACAGTGGGACTCTATTGCCCGATGTCAAGGCAACTTGGGGTTCTGGGGCTCAAACCCAGGCCTGGGCAACATAAAAGAACATCCCAACTTCCCCAAGTGACTAGGGATTCCATGGGGTTGGGGCCAGAGTATAATCCAATTGTGTACTAGATCACTGTCAGAGGTGAGGACAAGGCAGGTGGGATGGCTCAGTGGGTAAAGGTGCTTGCTTGATCTGAGTCTGATCCCTAGATCCCATAGGAGAACCAACTCCTGGAAGTTGTCTTCTGACCGCCACACGTGCATGCACTTACGCACCTACAACATACACACACACACACACACACACACAAATAATAAGTAAAATAAAATTTTAAGGCAAGGATTCTTGTTCCTGCCTTAGCACCTGTGGGCCCAGCCTCACTGCATATGCCCAACAGATGGTTAAGGAAGGAGGCAAACTGGAGAGCCTTCCTGACTAGCTGGTAATCTGAACCATAAACGGGATGATACGGCAAGTTTTCCAGAGCAGTCTTTTGGGAGAAGGTGAGTGTAAATGCTGAATTTGGAGACATCAGACCTGACTCCATTTGCCCTAGCCCCATAATCTGCAGAGCAGAACTCATGATCTAACCTGTCCTGGCTTTCAGAGCACCTCAAAGGCAGTCAGTCCAAATCAAGACCTGTTGGGAGAGTAAAATACATATAGATTTTGAAGGCTTTGTATAAAGAAAGCATAGAATGTATCAGTAACTTTAATTTGGATCTGTTAGGCTAAATAATATGCTCCCAAAATTACTTCTACCACTTTTCTTTTGACAGGGCCTCATATAGCCCATAAACTTGCTATGTATTTAAGGCTGGACTTAAAACTCCACATCCTCTAGCCTACACCTCCTAGGTGCTAGGTTATAGGCATTTGCCACCACATACAGCTTCTAAAGACTTTTTAAAAATTATTTTTAATTATGTATATATGTGTGTGCATTCATTCGCACTGTGGATATGTGCACGTGAATACAGGTGCCTATAGAGACCAGAAGTGAAAACCCCGCCAGGAGCTGGCAGTTGTTGAGCCACCCAATGTGAGTGCAGGGAACTGAACCCAAGTCCTCTGCAGGAACAATAAAGCATTCTTAACTGCTGAGCCATCTCTCCAGCCCCATGCCCAGCTTCTTTTTAATTTCTTAACATGGTTACTAGAAAATGTACTGGGCCAGTGGCACAACGGATAACACATCTAACTATGGATCAGAAGATTCTAGAAAATTTAAGTTACACATAGGGCCCACCATGTTCTATCCTTATTGGACAGCACCACAGTCTGAATTGCTTACTGATGGTGTCAGAAAATTCATGTTAGAACCTGACACCCACTGTGATAGCATTAACAACTGAGGGTCTTTGGGAAGTGATTACATCATAAGGGTTCTATCCTCTTGCCTCATAAAAAAGAGGCTAAAGGGAGTTTCTGTGTCCCCTTGCTATGAGGACACGACAAGAAGGTGACTGAAGCAGAGAAACAGCCCTCATCAGGTATCGAACCTGCTGGTGGTGCCTGATCTTGGACAGGCCAGTCTCACAACTATGAACAGTGTGTTTCTGTTGTTTATTAAGCACTTGAGCTAAGATATGTTGCTATAGCAGCCCAAGTGGACTGTTGTATTTCTATCCAGTGTCATCCTGGTTCTCAGCCCTGTCTTGGAAGACGGCTGGATCTAGCTCATGATATTCTTCTTGTAACTTTGAAAAAACAAAGGAGTTAGGTCCACACACTCCTCAGAAGCTGCCTAACACTCAGTCTGACACTCGGCCTCTCCAAGTCTCTTTTCCTCTGGAATTGTTATAGGAAATAGAAGGAATTACAAGTTACCCAATTCCATATACACACTCTAAAACATGAGTTACCCAATTGGATAGACACACTCTACCCCTTGGCCCAAGTGATTATACGCATGTTTTAAACACCTAGCATGCTATTAAGGGCATGCCTTTTGTCCTAATCTGGCAGTCTGCCTAAGGGGGCCCAAGGGAAGAACATCTTTGTTTAAATCATTGAAAGGGGCTGTCCATCAAATCTTGCACCTCCTAGGCTGGGAGGGACAAGAGTCCAGGGGGTGAGGAGTCCCTGTTTCACATGCCCAAGGGGACAGCCTGTATCTGAAAGACCTACCTGTTGACCTAAAGATCTGGGTTCCAGGTACCCTTAGCTCTCTCCTTCCCACCTTCTGGCCACTCACCTCTGGCAGGGAGGAGATGGACTCGAAGCTCATCCGCTTCTCTGCACTGGTTGGAGACCGGTTGCTGGACCTTCTGCAGCTCTTGGAGCCTTCAGACTCCCTGTGCTCTTTCCCCTACAGCAAGCACAAATCAGTTGTCAACTCCAGGGCATCTGAGAGCTGGTTCTACTTATACCCAACATAGTGTCTCCTACCCTCTGAAGAAGGGTCTAGGCTATGCTCAGAGCCAGCTCTGGGCCCAAGCCATTCCAAGGCATCCTTGCCAGGTATGCAGCTTCAGAGAAGCCTAGCCCACCTTCCCTTCCAGGGCCAGTGTAGTTGCCCTTCCCACTTAATGGGTGCTGGCTTTCCCCTTCCTCTACCCTGTTAGTCTTGCTCAGTGGGTAGTATGTTGGTGGGTACCCACTCCTGAAGCACTGCATGCCAGGGACTCACCAGGGCGTGACGGTGAGTGAGTTAAGAAGTGCTGATGGCAGGAGGGAAGGAACAGGGTAGGGTGGGGAGGGCACAGGAGAGGAATCTCAGAAGGTCATGCACATGCCAGGCAACATGCAAGGAGGAGGGGAGATCAAAGAGACACCTCACCATAGCACCCCGGGAGAAAAGTAAAGCGTTGGCCCGATAGTGCCAGCAGTGGAGGGCGGCCAGCAGGGAGCTGGCAAAGTCAGCTACCTGCTCCGCCACTGCCAGACTCTCCTCCTCCTCCTCCTCCTCATCCTCCTCTGAACCTGGGTGCTCTGGCCCAGGCACCTTCTCACTTCCTTCACTCCCTGCCAGGTCTTCCAGGGAGACTGGAAAGGTCCGCTGCTGCTGTTCCTCCTCCTCCTCCTCCTCCACTATCTCCTCCTCCTCCTCTTCCTCGAGCTCCTCCCTGGCAACCCCCTCAGCCTCTGGCTGCGGGTCCTGTGCACAAGATGGCTGCCCAAAGTCCAGAAGGGCTCCGGCACTGCCCGCATGCTGTTCAGAGCACAAGAGCCCCTCACGACCTGCCTTGTAGGCAACCTCCCCTCCTGCAGATGGCTGGAGATGGCTTCATACAAAAGTTACTCCTAGACATCCAATCCTAACCTCCTCTGGGGTCTAGTGAGATAGTGAGGCATTTTGTAGTGGGAAGGCTGGGACCTGATTGGGAATGAAGTCCTCCAAAGGGGTCTACATGCCCCAAGAGGGGAAAATAAGAGAGGGTGCAGGCCACGCAGTCTACCCCAGGGTGCTAGGAAGAGAGTATGAAAGGGTCCCTGGGGGCTGATCTGAGCAACGTCACCCACCCTCACTCTATCCAGCCCCTCTTCCCTGAACTCTAAGCCCCCTATTACCTTCATTCCCGATGCTCTGGTTGCTGACATCACCACAGGGCACATGGGGGAGGAGAAGAGACATTGCAATAAACAGGAGAAAGAGCCTCTTCAGAGACACCAGAGCTTCTGGAGAGGTCTCCTGGGGGCTCCCATGCTCCTAGACCCCTCAGCCAGTCCTAGCTTTCAAGGAAATGACTGACAGCTTAGCAGCTCAGCAGAGCTGCAACAGAAGGAGCAGTGTGTTGGGGGCAAGGTGGGGACAAGACCCTCTGCAGGCAGCAGAGGTGAGGCTCTTTTCAAGGGAGGAACTGAAGCTGAGATCCCTCTAGCTTATTCTCCATAGCCCCCCATTAGATTGCCATCTGTTTTCACCCTCCTGCCCCACCTAGGGATCCCTGGGAATGGCTCCTGCTCTTCTCACACACTCACCTTTCTCATTCAGTTGTCTGAGCAGATGTCTGGTCGGTTCTGAAGGACACAAAAGGGCAGAGTCAGTGCAGGCCAGGAAATAGCTGCAGCTGGCCAGAGGCCCAAGCTCACGGCACTGCCGGCCCATCACCAGCTCAAGGTCCACTCTAGCTGGCCCCTAGCGACCTGGGCCTGAGATGTTTCCTCCACAATGTCACTGGGCCCCAACATGGGGCCTGAGCCACTCCTGTTTTTTTGCAGCCCACAGCACACTACCTAGTTCCTGCATTGCCATGCCAGCCAGGGCCTTGACTCTGAAGCCATCTCAAAACAACGGGCCCCACGCTGCCCCCTTCAGAGCCACTAGCCATGTCTCCACCTCAAGCCCCCCTACCTCCCTTACAAAAAGCACATCAGCACAACAGCTATGCCCCACACCAAGCCCCTCAGAGCATGCGGGCTAGGAAGCAGAGGCCGCACCCGACTTTCTACGGCTCTTAAGGCCTGGCATCTCGAATCCTCGCTGCCTGCTGGGGAGTGTTGTGCTGCTGGACAGGGTGTAGCCAGGCTCTGGGGACAGGATACAAAACACAACTATTAGGCTGATGGCGTTATCACTTTGTACCCCAGCTTTTCTGGAGACAGACCTGAGGCAGGAGAGTAAAGAGAAGAGGACCTTGTTTCAAGAGACCGCTCTGCAGAACCCTCAGCCCATCCATTCTCTGCTAAACTGGCATTAAGTACGACACTTAGGGCTGCCCTTGATTATCTATAAACTTGGAGGCATAGGAAAGTCTACCAAGGTTTCTTAGCTGACCTTCAGCAAGGGAACATACTGAAGAATGGTTTTTTTCCTTGAGACAAACGCAATTGGTACATTATCCATATCCATATAGCTAAACGCCTAATTGCTTGTTTGTTTTGTTTTGTTTTGTTTGGAGATAGGGTCTCATATAGCCCAGGCTGGCCTCAAATTTGATATACTACCAAGGATAACCTTCTTAAGAACTAGGATCACAAGTATGCATCACTGTGCTGGATAGCTATCGTTGTCAACTTGACACACCTGGGTAGAAAGAGGGAGTCTCAATTGGGGAATTTCCTACATTGGACTGGCCTGTGGCCATGTCTGTGGGGACATCTTCTTGATTGCTGAGTGATGAGGAAGGGTCCAGCCCACTGTGGGCAGTGCCACCCCTGGGCAGGTTGTCCTGTATTGTATAAGACAGTAGGCAGAGCATGGGTCAGGGAGTAAGTCGGTAAGCAGCATTCTTCCATGGCCTGTGCTCCAGCTCCCTGCCCTGAGTTCCTACCTTGGACTCCCTCAGCGATGAACTCTGACCCGGGAGATGAAAGCTGAATAAAACCCTTCCCTCCCCATGTTGGTATTGGTCAGAGTATTTTGTCAGCAATTGAAAAGAAACTAGGACAATCACCATGCCTGGTTTGCATGCTGCTGGGGATTGGATCCAGGGCTTCATATATGCTAGACAAGCTCTCTCCAACTAAGTTACATCCCCAGCCTCCTAAATGCTTTTTGTTGTTGTTGCTGTTGTTTGTGTGTGTGTGTGTATGTGTATGAACATGTCTGTGTATGTATATGGAGACCAGAGGTCACTGTTGAGTATCGTCCTCAATTGCTTATATTTTGAGGCAAGACCTCTTATTCAACCTGAGCTTACTAATTCCACTAGAAAGGCCTGGGGATTCTTCTGTTGCCATCTCCCCAGCATTGGAATTAGAGGCATAGCTTATATGCAGCTGTGCCTGGCTTTTTACGTAAGGATTGAATACAGGTCCTTGTGCTTACGTAGCAGGCACTTTACCGACTGAGCTATCTCCTCAACCACCCCTAAGTGCTCTTTTTTTTTGTTGTTGTTGTCTTTTTGAAGCAGGGTCTCCCCCTGTAGCCCCAGCTGTCCTGGAACTCACTATGTAGACCAGGCTGGCCTTAAACTCACAGAGATCTGCCTGCCTCTGCCTCCCAAGTGCTGGGACTACAGGCATGTGCCATCACACCGGGCTCACCCCTAAGTGCTTTTAAAGTGAGAACTAGGGACTGCAAGGTGGCTCAGCAGAATAGGCACTTGCTGTCAAGCCTGATACCTACATTTGTTCTCCAGAACATACATGGTGGAAGGAGAAAACTGACTTCTGCAAGTTGTTTCTGACATCTACACAAATGCCATGACACACATACACCCTCAAATTAAAAAAATGCAATAAAAAAGTAAAAATACATTTTAAAATTTTAATGTAATAAAGTGAGAAGTAAAAAAATGTTCTATTTCAAATGAAAACTTATAATCAAGAACAAAAATGGTGTAGCTGGAGAGATGTCTCAGAGGTTAAGAGCATTGGCTGCTCCTGCAGAAGACCGAGATTTGGTTCCCAGCACTCACATGGTGGCTAACAACTGCCTGTAACAACAGTTCTAGGGGACTCAATGCCCTCTCCTGGCCTCTGCAAGTTTGCACACATGGGTGCACTTACATACATATAGGCAAAACACTTATACAGACTAAAAAATTAAATAAATTTTTAAAAAAATTTTAAGAAAGACCGGTGTAGCAGCAGACCACCAGAAAGTGCTGGGTTCTGGCCTCCCTCTGGCATAGGGCTGAGAATGCAGGGGACTGCCTGAGAGCGCCCAGATCCTGCCTCCACATGGTGAGTTATGCAATTTGGGAGTCTTTCGGATAGACCCACTGAAGGGGTGCCCCAGTTGCCTCACCCTGCATCCCTGTTCAGCATGGAAGAAGCCAGAGCAGTCTGTATTCAGATTCCCTATCCGCAAGTTGGGTAACCTCTTCAGAGGATGGTGTGATAAAAATAGGAGGTAGGAATTGGCTAGGCAGTTAGAGTAAAAAAGACCCCAAAGAAAAGTAGCCAGTTTCTTGGCTAAGAGTCAAAATGTCCTTAGGCCTCTTAGCAACATATTCTGTTCCAAAGGCCAAAAATGACAAAAGTATTTGGGAGCTTTTATCTAATCCATAAAGAAAGTGAGTACACAAAGTTTTCAGAAAACAGTGATGGGAAATAAGGGAGGAGTTGGAGGGGAGAGAGTGGGCATGGATTTGATCAAAACACCTTATAACACATGTATGAAATTCTCAATAAATTATTTAAAATTTTTTTTAAAATAAAAAGTTTAATAGCAATAATAGCAATAAAAGATCCTATTTATCTGCCTGACCCTGCTGTCTAGGAGGAGAAATCAAAGACCCTAAGGCCCAGCCTGGGCACTAAGCTCTCAAATGTGGTCTGATTCCTTCCTCTCAGGGACCCCATGGTCTGCTTTTACACACAGTCCCTGAAAATCACTATGTGATCACTACCACATAGGAGGAAGAGGACACTATAGGAAACATGCTAACTTCAGTGTTATGGAAGAAATTTCCTCACGAACACAGGCCATCTCCATGGCAACCCATAGAGCCACCACCACATCTGGCAGCTCAAATTCCATCAGTGGCACTGCAGCACCAGCTCCAGAAAAGGAAAAGCTCAACTGTGGCAGGCACTCTCTTCTAGAAGGCTCCAGAGGATGAAGCATGTCTCAGAAAAATGTCTGTTTTTTAAGAGTTAAAACTAAACTAACAAATCTTTAAAAACCCATCTCTCAGCCACTAAGAAATTTCAGTTCTGCAAAATGGTTCATTTCCTGACCATCCTGGACAGTTAAAGTCTTGGAGAGGGAGGAGTAACTTATTGCGCTACAATTCACATACCATACAATTCATCCATGTAAAGTATACAATCCAATGGCTTTAACTATATTCACAGAGTGTACCTCAGAGCTGAAGTATGTGTGTTTTTCTCTTTGTGGGGGCACTTTTTTTTGTCTTTAGATTGAACCTAGGACTTTGGCAAGCTAGCCAAATGCTGTGCCACTGAGCTACATCTCTAGTACTCAGAGCTAAAGTTCTGCTGCTGTTATGACAGACCATGAATGTTACCATCACTAATGTCCTAGTTAGCACTGTCAACCCTGACATAGCCTCACCTAAAAAAAAAGGGGGGGGGTGGATTTTAATAATTCTTTATCAGGTTGGTCTGTGGGCATGTGTGTGAGAGGTTGTCTTGACTGTTAATTGATATAAGTGGGCCCCAGCCCACTAAGGGTGGTACCATTCCCTGGGCAGGTGGTCCTGAGCAGAATAAGGAAGCTAGCTGAGCATGAGCTTTGATGAGTCATCTAGCAAGCAGCATCCTCCACAGTTCCTGCTGTACTTTTTGGCTGTGAGGTAAGTTCCTTGGTCACAGGTAACGTGCAGAATAGCAAGCAGGTCTGCCTTAAATTCCTGCCTTGACTTCCCTCAGTGATGAACTGTGATTGCCAGTGCTAAGCCAAATAAATCCTGTCCTCCCCTAAGTTGCTTTTGGCTAGAGTATTTTGTCACAGCAACAGCAAGGAAACTAGAACACTGCCATCATCACCTGAATGCTTCCATGTGACAGACTCTTCCAGTGCTTCCTTCCTATGGCAAGGAAGTGGGAATTAGAAGGAAAGGAAGAGAATTATGGAAGAGAGGAGAAATAGAGATGGTCAGAGACCAATAAAGTAACACCCCAATTCAGGGTTTTTAATAATAAAATTTATATAACCAAAACAAGTTCACCCAGGAAAGAGCCACCTGGGATAATACAAAACATTGCAAAAAATATGAAAACTTTCCAGCGACCACCCAGCTCTACCTTTTAGAAGGCTAAAGCCCAAGTATCAATCATAAGTGTTCAAGAAGCCTGTAGGTAGTGGCCAATCAAAAGACCCAACACATTTGAAGGTCCAACCAAGATTATGTTCTCAATCTAAACTCTAATTTTTTGTTTGTTTGTTTTGTTTTGAGACAGCCCAGCTGGCCTGGAACTCACTATGCAGACCAGGCTGACCTCATCTCAGAGAGAATCTGCCAACCTCTGCTGGGATTAAAGGCATACCCCACCACACCTGGTTCAATCTAAAATCTTTTGCTCCAGGCTATTGTAGCATGGGTCTCACTCCCAGACCCTATCTCTGTTTAACCCAGATCTGCCCGAGTCTCAGACTGAATGGTAAGTCAAGTGAAAAGTGTGACGAAAAAATAAAATCAAGCTCCCATCGCTGCAGAGCTAAGAATAAAAGCAAGGTTTTCTCTTTCTAAACAGACGATTCATTCCAATAAATCCGAGAGCACATTAGCAAGCCCAGTCATGGAAGAAAACTCAGAAGAGGAAAATGGAATGACCCAAAGTAAATATTTCCTGTCTAGATTTGGTGCCACTTGGTCTAAGTTATTTTCCTCCCATCCAGCTTCTGCTGTCATTCCAGAACTGGGCTGGGGACTACTCATGATGCCCAAGTGCTAATCCTGGCTAAGCAGCAAAGGAAGGTTTAGGTGGAAGGGATGCTAAGAAGAGGTGCCAAGCCCCTAATGAACAAATATCGCCACACCCCTGAACAGGAGGACTGCCCAGCCCTGGTGGGCAGCAGGCCCAGGGAGGAGATGATCCACAGATGTCCATCAGCCTACTCTGCATTTCTGAAGGGAGTAGCAGTTGTGGCCGCCTATGTTGTTACAGATGATCCCCAGCCTGGCTCAGGGTTCTTTCCATGAAAAGGACTCTTGTCCACACAGCCCTTCTCTTACCAGACTGCCGGCGTCCTTGGCGCACATGGGTAGACACCTCATCCTGGGAGGACCAAGCCTTCTTCAGTCTCTCTGGGCTATAGCGATACCGACTGGGGTCTGTAGCCAGGTGAGAGACAATCAAGCTTTTGGTTCCCTATCAGCCTACCTAGACACTGCCCATACTGGGCCACACATCTTCCATCCACCCCAGCTCTAGGTGGTCTTGGATGCCTCTGGAGGTCCCTCCATCTTCTATCTTCTTACAACTAAGGGCTTCAGGCACTGGGAGTTCCACCCTTCAGTAGGACTGTGTCCCTAGTTATACAACTGACCCCCAGCCCTTGACAAAAAGAGCCTGTTCCTAAAAAAAATATCAGCCAAGGTTTTTCCAAGCTATTACCTGACCTAACAATGTATGTAATTAGGGACCACACAAGCAGAAGAGGGTGACTTACAATAAGAGTCCATTTCCAAGATGGCTTCTTTGGCCTAGAAAGGAAAAAAAACCCACATAGCAACCACTTTACTATATGTTGTGCCTCGTCCATCTAATGGGATAGTCCCAGGGCCATGCTGAGGCCTGTGCATCTGCTGTGCCAACACTCTGTCCAGCAGAGCCAGGAGTAAGAACACCAGCATGCTCTCAGGACCTGGCTAGGAGACACGCTTTCCCTGAACCCCATTTGGGAATATCCTAGGAGCCAACCTTCTGGGGGATGGTGGCATGGTGGTTCTCCAGAATGAGCCTCTTGATGTGGTGAGTCCAACTCCGTTTCTCTTCCACTGTCTTGGCCTGGGAGGGCCCAAGGGAAAGGAACCAGGATTGTTATTTCAGGTCAAAACTGCCTAGCATACCCAGAACTTCACACCCTCTTGGGGCCTCTGTGGTGGGCTTGGAAAGGAGCCTGAGATGATGCCCACTTCACAGATGGGGTGTGGTGGGGAACCCAGAGTCATATGTAGGCGTGCTTGGAAGTCTTGGTTCCCAGCCCTTCACCCCAACCACCCTCACCTGGATGCTATACTGCTGTTTGCTGTGCTTGTAGTGGGTGACGGTGAAGCACAGAGAGTCTCTGGTGCTTTCGATCAGCATTAGCGAGGAGCACTGGGGACAGAGAAAAGGTCAGTTAAGCAGAAGAGAAGGGGACCCCAACCTTGAGGTGGTCTCAGAACAATGGCACTGGTGTCCAATGAAGCAGGAAGGGGCAGAGGAGCCAGGACCCTTGGTGAAGGAGAGATGGCAACAGAGGAGGCAGGGCAGCCTGGTTACCGGAATGTGACCCTTGTAGACAAAGTGATCGCCCCGCTTCTTCGTGATGAGCAGTATCTTGTCAAAGAGGAAGAAAGTTCTCTCATTTCGCACTCGGTGTACACGGAAGGTGGCCTCCAGAACCAGCTCTCCATAGGTGGTAAGGTCTGGTCCCTTCCAGTTGATGAGCAGTGACTGAATCTCCTGCATCAAAGACCCCCCCGCCGATCCCCAGGGTCAAGCCTCATAGTCCCTAGGAAGCTCATAAAGACCTTATCCTGACAGCTTCCCCAGACACTACACCCCTCTTAACTCAGCCCAGTAAGGAGGCCAAATTCCCTCTCCCAAGCCCTGTCATCTCCCAGCCTCCCAAGTCCAGAGCACCTGCAGCCGAACCGCATGCTCATGTCTCCTCTTCATGTCATTGATGTACCAGGCCACACACGTCATGGTGTCAATGGCATCCTCAACTACCTCAAAGCCATCCTCTTCTTCATCAAAATGTTTAGCAATTTCCTGGGCAGAAGACACGGCTCTGAGCAAAGCTAACTCCAAGGCTCTCCCTCGGGCCCATGTTCTACGGAGAAGCTCTGAGCTACCTGGAGTAGCAGGTGGTACTTAAGGATGCGCTGGACTGGCTTCAGCAGGTAGGATCCCAGGGGCAGGGAGTGCTGCAGTAGCTCCTGCCTGTCACGGAAGAACTTGGCCTGCTGCTTGTCACGCATGCACTCTGTCAGGGCCGCCACAGAACTGGGAAGGGAAGAAGTGGGTGTCACCATCTGGGGAAGGTCTGTTTAAGAGCCCCAAACACCAAATGGCCCAGCTGCCCCTCTCTACCACCCAGATACTCACTTGGGGTAGTTGTTACAATACTGGGTGTAGATATCAAACTCTTGGCTCTAAGAAAAAGACCAAAAAATGGTGATTTCAGGGAGTTTCTCATTTGACTGGAAAATATGGTGGGACGAAAGACAGGTTCCTAACCTCTGAACACACTCCATCCTCCCTTCCCCGGGTACCTGCAAAGCCATTTTTTGTATTTGCATCCCATCCACCTGATAGCCCTTGACTCTACCCCAAAATTTCCTTCCATTCAAGGCAAGAGACTTGGACAGAGATCCCCAGGACTCCGGGGTCCCTTTATGTTGAGCCAGGACCCAGCCATTCTTACCCTTTCCACAAAGCAGCTGGCCACAGCCACGGGATCACTATTGCAGCTGTCCAGGTCTCTGAGGAGTTGGCTGGGTGAAGGGAAAGAGGCCATTAGACCCCCAACCTCTGCAGCCTCCTTTGCACTGAATGCCCCTTGCCCACCTCCTCAGATGCAAGACTCAGAGCCAGCCCTGGTGTCATGCTAAGAGCCAGGGCTTCCACCCTCTGAGTGAGCCCTACCCCAAGCAGCACTCACGGAAAATATCCAGCATACCACAAAAACAGGGAGCCAGGGAGACCCATGTGCAGCAAGCAGGAAAGGTCAAAGGGGACACCAGTACCCACCTTGGAAGAGGACACAGCTCCTCTGTGGGCAGGAGTCAAACACACAAAAGCAGAGATTAAAGAAGGAAAAAAAGAAAGGGGCTTACAGAGAGCTCCCACATGGGAGGGTGCAGAAGCAGAAACAGGGTGAGACTAGATGGAACACTTTAGGATATACCAGAAACAGCACTCCTGCCTCCTCCATCTGTCCCCCTCTTTGCCTGGCTGCCCTCCCCACACCTTCCTGTCTTGCCTGCACTCTGCCCTCCTGTCTACACACTGCCTAGACTGCAGAAGGAGCTTGGGGGACGGGTCTTCCCGTCAACACTGCTACCCAAACACTTTCTCCTAACAGTACCCTCTCTGAATGTCTGTGGTCCCATGGCAGCAGACTCAACTTTCCCAGAGTCCCCTGGCCCTGAGGCAGGTCCTCACCAGCGCTCAGTTTTGCCTGGCCTATGTAATCCACTAACAGGTCAGATCTCCAGGGAGTCCTTATGTCTTTTGAGATCAGTGCAAAGGAAGAGAAGCCGCGAGATGTGCAAGATGAGAAAGAAAAAGGAGCCACCCAGAGGAAAAGCACTGGTGTGCAAGGGCCTAGCCAAGAGAGGGCTGGATCAGCCTGGACCCAGCAAGCATGGGACTTCAAATTATCCACTCCCAGAAAGCACATCAGCCCAGCTGCTGCCCTCTTTCCACATAGCACTAATGATGCTTATGCAGGGGTGAACTTCCATTCCCCACCTCTGTAATCAGGTCTCAAGTCCCAGGCCCATGGGTCACAGCCTATGTGTCCACAGACATTCAAAGATCCTCCCTAGGCTGTGAGGTGTGCCTTGGGGCAGAAGGGGCTGCCACACATACCTGTTCAGTGCATAGATGCTCTCTATGTTCCCAAAGAGGGCACTGACTTGCTCTGGTTTCAGAAGCCCAGGGGTGTCGATGATCTTCAAGAGGTAGTCCTATATGGAAAGAGATTTGAGGACCCTGCCCCTCCTGGCTTGATCACCCACCTACCCAAGTCACACCTTCATTCCATATTGCATTTTATAGCTATGACAGTCAGCACCCACTGTGCTGAGCTGGAGAGTATTATTCTCAAATTCACATTTAGTTGGAATGTGACCTTATTAAGAAATAGGGTCTCTGCAGATGTCATTAGCTTTTAAGGCTCTCAATATGACATCACTGCATAGTTAAGGAAACTCTAAGAGCTGGTGTCCTTCTAAGAGAAAAGAACACAGAGACAAAAGTGATGGAAAGAGATTGGGACAATGCAGTCACAGGCCACACACCAAAGCACGCCAGAGAGAACTAGCTAGGTGTGACCGTGGTCGGTAATCCCAGTACTTGAGAGGCAGAGCCAGGAGAATTGCCACGAATTAAAGGCTAGCCTGTCTCAGAAAACTAAATCAAGGGGCTAGAAGGTGGCTCAGCAGGTAAAGGCACACAAGTTTGGTGACCTGAGTTCAATCCCCAGAACCATGTAAAGGTGAATGTCAAGAACCAATTCCACAAAGTTGTCCTCTGACCTCCACATGCATGTTGTAGCATGTGTGTATACACACACACACACACACACACACACACACACACACACAATTAAATTTTTTAAAAATCAAAACAAAAATAGACCTGAAAGGGAATTCATCTATTGCTTTAAGCCATTAGGTTTGTGGCAAGTTGTAGCACAGCCCTAATAGACTCTCACATAGGTCTCACTATCAGGCAGCCACATGTCATCTTTTCCTGTGTGCCCTACAGTGTGAAACACCTCACTCCCACCAGCCCTCTGGAACAATGGAACCTGGGGCTCGGGGCATTGTGCACAAGCCCAAGGCTCCACAGCCATGAAACAGCAGAGTGGGAATATGAATGTGCCTGTAGAGCCCGGTGGTCCTCCCAGTCATACTGAAGTCTGCCCTTTGTTATCACAGGGCCCACTCCCTAGGCACCTATAGGAAGATCTACCACCCAAGCTACTGATGTGGCTCGGTGTCATAGGAATTATGAGAAGTCAACAGCCTCCACAAGGCAGGTCCCTAAGGCTTCTACAGGAGCTCATGGGAAGCAGATAAACTGAGACAGATGTGCCAGGGAGAACTTTCCATTATGTGTTGGTTGCACTAGCGAGTTGGGCTACTGGAAGCCAGCATCCCCAGCCCTTTGGAGAGATGAACAGCCCCTCCCAGCCTCAGCACTCACCTCTACAATGCTGCGCAGGTCCTGAACATACATGCGTTCTGTTTCCACAATCTCCCGCACCACTCGGCCCAGGTAGCTGAGCTTATGGTGAGCAGGGCCTGTCCCTGCACGGCTGTTGAATGGGGAGAGGGGTCCCTTCATGTTTAACCAGCTGCTGGAGTTATTGTTGCTGTTGGGGATATGCCGGCCCCGAGGGGAGCCTGCCCCATTCTGGGCTGAAGCCTCAGAGCCAGTGGGCTCCTCCATGGCACTATGGCTGTCACGAGAGGAGCCGGAGGAAGTAGTGGACGTCAGGCTTGGCGGTCGCTCCTGGCTGCCATCTTGGTGGAGGGCAGTAGAGACAGGCATCCTGGCATTGCTGCCTGGGACAATCACCTCAGGAAGATTCTGGAACAAAACCGACAGATGGGTCAACCTGAGTCTTGGCAGAATCAGAAAGCGGAAGTGAGGTTGCCAGGCACAGGGAGAGGGCAGAATAGGAAGTTACTGTTAGTAAGTACAAAGTTCAGTTTTAGAAGATGCAAATAGTTCCAGGGATGAATGGTATGGTGATAATATGAATTAAAGTCACTGAAGTCACTGAACTACATTTTACAAATAAGATGGTAAGTTTTCAGTTTTGTATATTTTACCACAATTTACAAGAGCCAGCAAAGATGGCTCAGGAGGTGAAAGCGCTTGCCACCAACCCTGACAACCTAAGCTCCATTCCCAGGACCTACGTGGTAGAAAGAAAGAACTGACTCCTAGAAGCTGTCCTCTGAACTCCACACATATACCATGGCATACAACCCCCATAAATAGATGTAATTAAAAAAACAAAAAACAAAAAACATAACCTAAATGCTGAGAAAGACTATTACCTATGAATTCTGATAGGCAAGGATGCTCAAGTAACATTCCTTCTGGATCCCAGCAGCTCCACCTCTACCTTTCCCAGTATGGAGATAGGTGGTCCATACCGGGAAACAAGGACCCAAAAACCTGAGGCCCCAGAAGAGCAGAGAAGCCACCTGTGCCAACACAATTGGTATAGGGTGCTTTCTGAGGAACTCAAAACCCAGTGCTAGAGGATAGAGGTAACTCAGTTGGTAGAGTGTTTGCCTAGCATGCATGAGGCTCTCAGTTCAATTCCCAGCACTGTATAAAACCAGACCATAGTAGTGCACACCTGTAATCCTAGCACTGGAGAAGTTGTGTCAGGATAAGTTTAAAGTCCTCCTCAGCTATACAGTGAGTTCCAGGCCAGCCTGAGCTTCATGAGGTCCAGTACAAAAACTAAAAGACAAACAAGGCCTGCCACTTGAGCAAAGTGCTTGGCCTTTGGCCTTGCAGGGCTTCACCTATAAAATAAGGATGGATACAGCCTACCCCGGGCCTATGTCCTTCTTCTAGTTTGCTTCTCTGTTGTGATAAAACACTGATCAAAACCAGCTTGGGAAGATAGCGTTTATTTCATCTTACAGCATGCCATCATTGAGGGAAGCCAGGGCAGGAACTCAAGACAGGGAAGCAGGAACTGAAGCAAACACCATGGAGGAACGCTGCTTACTGGCTCGCTTCCCCAGGCTTGCTCAGTTACCTTTCTGATACAGTCCAGGCCCACCTGCCTAGGGATGGTACCACCTACAAGAGGGCTGGATCCACACACATCAATTCTTAATTAAAGAAAATACCCCCAGACATGGCTAATGTCAATCCAATGGAGGAAATTCCTCAACTGAAGTTCCTTCTTCCCAGGCATCTTTAGCTTGTGTCAAATTAACAAAAACTGGCCGGGTGTGTGGTGGTACACACTTTTAATCCTAGCACTCGGGAGGCAGAGGCAGGCAGATCTCTGTGAGATCAAGGCCAGCTGGGGTTACAGGGAGACCCTGTCTCAAAAAGGCTAAAAAAAAAAAAAAAAATTTGACTAAAACTAACCAGCACAGTCCTCAAGGGGAAGCAACCGCAACCTGTTGCCGGCCTTCTGAGGATGGTGCATCACAGAAAATGCTCTGCATACCATCAGTATGGAAAGAACGGTAGCTGTCAAAAGTGCATCCCAAGTGTCTGCCTATCAGGGCCTGTGCTGGGGCCACCGCACAGGGATGGGTGACAATCTAGCTCTTTTTAAAATTTATGTATGTATGTATGTATGTATGTATGTATGTATGTGGAGGTGGGGGAAGGGGACTGCACACAAGCCACAACATGTATACGGAAGTCAGAAGACAACTTGTAGGAGTTGGTTCTCTCTACTATGTGGGTCCCAGAGATTAGACTCGGATCACTAGACTTGGCAGCAAGCACCTTTATCCACTGAGCCATCTCACCTGCCAAGAGCTAGCTCTTACAATATTATGACAACATGCAGCCAGCAGGTAATATTCTCCTTAGGACTGCAAACTCTCAGGGCACCAGTGGCGGCATCATCTACCTGAAGCTTTCTGGATACTGTGAGAGATGGAAAAACTGAGCCAGCTTTATCCACTTCATCCCTAAGTACCTAGTGTAGGCAGACCCCTGACTCAGCCGCACCAGGAAATTCCCCAGGGATGAGCTGCAGCTGAGTCTCTACAAACTCCTCTCAACACAGCTGGGCAGCCCAGCATAGAAAGCAGGAAACTGCACCCAGGTGATGTAAACACTGCCTCAGGTGGACTTTATTCCCTGAGCAGATGGTGCCACTCATAAGCAGGCCCATCTGGAACACTGAGTGGGTGGTGACCACAGCCCACTTCAAGGAAAGGCAAGATACCTCATGCCTACCCATGGGGCCAGAACTCACCAGCACTACTTTCTATTTCCACAAGAAAAAAAAGATCCTGGGTACCTGTCTCACCTCTACCGACTCAAGTCTTCTAACCCCAATCTAGGTATGATTCAGAAGCTAACAGATCATACCTAGCCAACAAGCAGGGGCTGGAGTTGTGATGAAACGATTTAGAACATAACTGCCATCACTCCAGTACCTTTGGCACCCTCCTCCTGCTTTTTTGAGCCTCTGCCCTTACCTGGAAGTCAATGCCTCTGAATTTCAGCTTTTGCAGACATTGCTCTCTCTGCTTCAGCATTATTTCCTCCATGCCTGCTCCGTTTCATACTCAACCACCAGGTCTCAGACCAGAAGATCCCCACCTCCAGGAACCTTCCCATATATATCAAACCTGGGGGATGTCAGGTTTTCTCTTCAATAGCACTCACTGTGTGACACTGCAGTTAGTTAGAGACCCAATTCTTGGGCTGTAAGTTACTTAAGGACACAGGTTGTTAGGACCAATTTGGTGATTAGTCTTGGTAAACAGTTTGATGTTTTAATGTTTTTGTTTTGTTTTTCTTTATGAGACAGGGTCTTGTGTATCCCAAGCCAGCCTCCAACTCCCAAGGATAATTTTGATCTCGTCCTCCTGCCTTGACTTCCTGAGTGCTGGGATTACTGGCATGTGCCACCACACCTGGTTTAAGAGATGCCAAGGATCAATCCCAGGGCTCCATGAATGCCGACGAGCACTGTACCAACCGCATCCCCAACTTTTATTAAACTAAAAATCTAGTACATTCATACCCACTTATGGTTCAACACGGACCCATCCAGGCTACTGTGGAGGATAGCACTTTGTCACTGTGGTCTCAGCTGAAGGGATCAGCTCCAAGGTGCTCTATATGAGCCTATCATGTGACAGATGAGGGCACAGTGGCAGCTCTGGGGTTGGCACTGGTGTCTGCCTCTGCCTGCAATGCAGGAAGCAAGTCTTGGAAGAGAACACCAGGAAAGGTGTGCTGCTGCTCCTGCTGGGGCATCCTCCTCCCCCCAGAGAGCATTTTAATTAATCAGTTACACCTCTCTGCAGAACAGGAGGCCAAGCTGTAGCATGCAATTCCAGCACAGAGCTAAGGGCCCAGGCTTTACCTTGCTCCTGACCTCTACCCCATCAGTCCCAACTGGCACAATGGAGCAGAGACTTAGAGCCTAGGATCTTTTCCAGACTAGCCCTGGGGTCAGGTCAGTTCCTGTGGGGAGAGTAAATGGAAAAAACCCAAGTCCCAAATAGATTTCACAGCCAGCTAGGTCACGGTTTGCAAAGGAGCCATCACAGTCCCACTCCACCCCCACAAACCAGGGAATTTGTCTCTAAAGGGTACCTTCTGAGGGTCACTCTTTTTTTTTTTTTTTTTGTCTTTTTGAGACAGGGTCTCCTTGTAGCCCAGCTGTCCTAGAATTCACTATGTAGACCAGGCTGGCCTCGAACTCACAAAGATTCGCCTGCCTCTGCCTCCCATGTGCTGGGGCCACCAAGCCCAGGCGAGGGTCACTCTTTAAGGACCCCATGTCAACATAAATATACTTTGGGGTCAGAAACTAACACACACACACCCTTTCTATTTGGAGTTTTCTGTCATTGAACACAATTCCCCTGTTGAAAGCAGAGCCCCTGCCTTAATCCCCTGGGACTGAAACAAGGCAGCATGGACACTGATTGGCTCAAATGATCTAACTGCTGTACTTGGGATAAGTCACTTACCCCCTAACAACTCTACGCAGTGGGCACTATAATAAGCCATTTTACAGATATAGAACTGAGGCCACAGAGGTAGTCAGTGTAGAGCTGAACCAGACACTTGGGCTCCAGACGTCATGTTCTCCTGGTCACTACTTCCCCAAAAGGACTTCTTGGTCACTTCCTCCCTAACGGACCTCATATCAGTCAGGGCCATAAAAGCAAAGGATTACCCATAGCTCTGACTCAGCACAAGCTATAGGGACAGAGAACACTTGAAAAGACTTGGCCAACAACATGACAATCCAAATACTGCAAAGGCTACTTCTGAACCTGTTACCATGTGGCTTCTGACCTCTCACTCTTCCTGGGTCCTATCACACCCGGGTCTCCAGGTACCCTAAGGATCCCCTGTAGAGATCACTTCCGTCGTTGAACATGAGTCAATCCAGTCAGTTATCAATCCACAGATCAGCCTTCTAGAAAGCTGAATCTTAAGTCCTATACTGTGAAGTCCTTTTTGAGAAATTACCCCAGAGAATCCAAGAGCAGGAGAAGAAATTTACCACCCCTTCGTTCCTTCATTCCTTTGTTCCTCCCTCCCTCCCTCCCTCCCATTCTTCTTTCCCCTTCCCTCCTTCTTTCCTTCCTCCCTCCCTTTCTTCCTTCTCTTCTTTCTCTAAATTTAAATGTAATCCACTTCCTTCTTCCGCCCACCTGTCCACAGCACATGGCCCCACCTCCCAAGGACCTTTCCTGAGTCTCCCCAGCAAGGAGGCAGGCTGTAGCAGGCCCTTTTGGATCCCCAGCCATGGACAGGAGCCAAGTCCCACATCCTTCCCCTCCCAGCTGCCTCAGCACTGTGCCCTCAATCTGACCCAACAGAGGGGAAAAAAAAGATACCCT